TAGCTATTGTGAATTCTGTCATTATAAACATTGGTATGCATTTATAGCTATAGTATGCTGATTTTAGTTCTTCTGGATGAAAACCAAGGAGTGGGATAACTGGGTCATATGGAGGCAATAGACTAGGGATGAAACCTCTCTGAGTTTTTAGCTGATTTATCTTAGCCCTTTAATAAGCACTGGGATTGGAGTCATGCTAATAAATACTTTTTGGTTGTTGATTTTTAAGAAAATGATTTTGCTCAGGTCTAGGGATTTTCCAACATTTGCCCAAGGTCCTGTTTATCAAGGCAAGCCTTGGAACATAATATCACTTCTCAAGTCTCCTGGCAGGGTGGTAGTGAAGATGCAATGGGACAGTACAGGTAAAGCAACTGGAATATGCTGAGCACTCACTAAACAAAGACCTATCATTGTCTCGAGGAGCAGATGGGACCTGCCCCTGGTGTCTTTGAAGGGATCCCAGGTCCAGCCTACCTGCCGAGAAGGGGATAAAAGCTTCATTCTTCTTCAGTGCCCCGTTGGCATCCAGAAAGTGGTCAGGGTTGAAGGTGTCTGGTTCTTTAAAGTAATGCGGGTCGTGGAGAGCAGAGCTCAGGATGGGGTACACTTCAGTGTTCTGAGGAAAGGTTGAAAGATCAAGAGACAGTGCCATTCTAGGCCCCACAAAAAATAAGTAAAGTGATAAAACAAACAAAAACGAAAACCAGGGGCCCTGCCGAGAAACGCACAGGAGGTTGAAGCTGGGATTAAGTGAATCAAGGACGCCCACAGAGAGCAGACCCAAACCCAGCTGGGCTCACCTTGGGGATGAGGTACCCTCGGAAGACAGTGTCTTTAGTGACTGTGTGGGGCAAACCAATGGGGAAGAGGTCTCCAAATCTCTGAATCTCGTGGATGACTGCCTCCGTGTATGGCATTTTGGAGTGATCATCGAGGGCAGGTGGCCTGTGTGAGCCAATCACCTGTGCAATCTCCTCTTTGACTCTTTCTGCACAGAAAAGGGGACCAATGAGCTCTGTTTCACCAGCCACACTGTTCTCTATGGACTACTGAGCCACAAAATTCCTACATCAAGGCTCAGATCATTGATACCCTCAGAGCAATCAGCTGGGGGATGGGAAGAGGGAAACTCAACCAGAACTCTCACCGTTTGAATTCTATTGAATGTGATAAGTCATCTCTCCCGTGCACAGGTACCCTGTGTGTGCATGCATGCACACACACACACACACACACACACACACACACACACCCATGATTTCACATGTAATTTTAGATGAAGGACTACAAGTTAAAAAGGTGTCAAACCCATCCCTCTAAAATGAATTTAAAAAATCTAATGTTTATCCCGAGTGTATTACAGGTAAAGCACTGTGTTAGGTCCTCGGGAATACAACAGTGGAAAAAACCAGTGGTGAATCCATGCACAACTAGATAAAGAAATGGCCACCTACATCAATCCTATCAATAATAAATCAATGCCTGAATGTGAAGATTAATGAATGAATGGGCAAGCCAATAAATGCATGCTGTATTCAACTTAGCAATAGGTGGATCAATGAATAAATCCATTAATAAATGATTCTTGGACAAAAAAATGAACCCTATGAGTCACTAATCACATGAATGCTTAATTTATGAAAGACCTAGATGAATAAATTAGTGGTGGTATGCATAAATAATGGAGAAAATGAATGCATAGATTAAATGATAAATAAATGAGAGATGAATAAATGAATAATTTACATAATGCAAGAAGGATGGACTGAAGACTATTTGATGGAATGATTAAGGAATGAGACTTAGTTCAGGGAAGGATGGGTGGATCCACGCCAATGAGTGAGCCATGAATCAATGACAACAGTCACTCAACTATCATTGTCCGAAGGTCAACTCATTCATAAATGAAGGAATGTGAATGTCTTTGGATGAATCATTGGTGAAAGAATCAGTGAGTGTCCATGTACGTGAATCACTAAAAGGTTGGATAAATAAATGAAGGATGACAGAAAACCTTGGAAGAACAAGTCAACAGATTCTACCTTCACCACCGGCCCATAGCACGGGCTCAGCGGGAGACCACCCTGGGCCTGCCCAGCTCCTGAAACAGAGGTCAGGTTGCCTCCCATCCATGGAGGACTGCAGCCCAGGAGGGGATCAGAGGACCCTCCCTGCACGCTCTCCTGGGCCCACCTGCCACGTGAGGGTACTTGAGCATGAGCAGGAAGCCATAGCGCAGAGTGGTGCTGGTGGTCTCGGTGCCCGCGAAGAAGAGGGACAGCAAGGTAATGGCGAGGTTCTTGTGGTGGAACTCGCTCTGCAGGTTGGACTTCTCCTGGGCCCACAGGTGTGGAGAGGGAGGGCAGGTCAGGGCCTGGAGCCCACTGGGGACTCGCCTGCCCCCCAGGCCCCACCCTCTGTCTCTGGGTCCCCCCGCAGGGGGTCCCTGGGTCTCAGCAGGGCCAAGCCGGAGTCTCTCTCTCTCCCTCCCTCCTCCTCATGGCTCTGCCTGGCTTGGTGTCTCTCTCTCTCCGTCTCTTTGGCTTGTTTCTGGTTTTTGTCCCCAGTCTCTTCCTGCGTCTAAGGTTCTTTTCTCCTGTTTCTTTTGGTCCCTGTGTGTCCCCATCACCCAGCGCCCCTTCCCCTCTCCCTCTCCTGTCAGTCCCCCTCCTCCTTTCCCTGGTCTTCCTCCCCCAGCTCCTCCCCCTCCTCCGTCCTTCCCGCC